GTCCACGAGCTGGTAGGTCGGCAGAAGGATGCCCATCAAGCCGAGATGGCTAAACTTGAAAGAGAGAAATCGGCATATGGGGAGTTTATGTATGAGAACGGTTTCCAAGCCGGGAAGGATTCGGTCGTTGTTGAACCGAAGTCCGGTGGTGATGCCGAGGTTGATGGTGAGGACGCCGGCGGAAATGATGATGGGGTCGGTGAACCTGACCTTGAAATTGAGATGAATACCTGTCTGAATCTCCGATGGGTTATTGAGCGCTACGATGTCGGCTACTATGATATTGACGACCTCCGTTTGTTCCTATTCCGCAAGCTGGAGAAGTACAGTTTTGATGCCGAGATAAAGGGGATGCACGTGGTGGCTGACGAGGATGAACGCGATTTTTGTGTCTGGATGCTCCGTCGTTCTGAGGAGATGAATGCGAATCCTGATTTGCCGCCACTTTCCGAGGACAGGGCTGCTCTCCTCCGACGTGCTTATGTTAAAATGATCTTGGAGGAAGAGAAAGAAAAAAGGAAGGAACTGGCCGACGTGTATCTCTCAACTTTGGCCGAGGTGGAGGTTGAACAGCATTTTGGTGATATGACTCCGGAGCAAATTCAGAGCAGGGTCAAAGCCTATATTGAGGAGAAGGCAAGGTCGACCGACAAGGAGATTGAAATTGTCAAGGTTGTCACGCCGGCTGAGGACGATGTGGATAAAGTGCGAGATCCTCGTGATGAGTTGGCTCCGGTGTCAGATGGAGCCATCGAGATTGCTGCCAAAGCGAAGGAGTCGCAAGTCTTGGAGCGACTATCCTCAGGGATCGAAGCCGGGGAAGGCAGTGGCACCGGGACTGATGTGGAGAAGGCGACTGATGCGATTTGAAGTCCAGAAATTTTACTTGTTACTGCATTATTAATTTCGTAATAGAATATCGGAGTGCCAGCATGTTGGCATTGTTAGTAGGCAAAATATGAAGAAATATGTAATCGGGGATATCAGATAACTGAATCCCTTAGTAGGAAAATATGTAAGGTATTTCTGACATTTTTAAGAAATATATATGATATGTTTTCCTAATATCTGTTGTGATTTACGTTTGCTGTTCATATTTCAGCGATTTTGTCAAAGTGTTCTGAACTCGGTACAGATTTTACTAAGAATTGTTCCAACTCGGATTTATTCATATCATTAACCGAGTTGTAAATTTTTTGTAAAAATAATTTCCGAATTCCACTTTGATCTTTTGTAATAATTTCAGCCACAAGTGCAAGTCGATATGCGAGTTTTCAAACAACTCGCGAAACTTAACACATTTTTAGGGCTGTACGGGAAATAAAATAGAAGTCACCGAACTTCGTCAGAGTTCGATTATGGAATGGCCCCAACCGATTTATATTTTTTGTATTCGGTAATATTCGGGACCCGTCAAATCATGTGTGTTGAAATGACGTTTGACGTGCGTCGCCCCCATCCGAAACATGTGTGGAGTTCGAATATATTATGGGGTGTCAGCGAGACCGAATGTCGCAATGCTTACATTGGTACAAAAGATTCATGGAACCGAGCTTCAAAATGTTTACATCGGTATTGAGCTGCTGCTCGGATTTTCAAAAGCGAAAGCCGACAGGCCTTCAATACATCAAAAGGGTTACTTCGTACATTCACCGAGGCGAAAAGAAGGTCCGTGCAAAAGAAAGGTCGGCTATCCGACTTCGGACCATTCACTGATAGAACTTTTTCAAGAACACAGCATTCCAGGGATATTGATGGGGTGTCCCGTCGGGACGAGCAATCCGATATGCTCCATGGGGTAAAACCTCAGTGATTTGGTAAGGCCCCTCCCAATTTGGTTTGAGTGGTCCGGGGTCAGGCCCCATTATGCGTTTGAGGACCAAGTCTCCAACTCGGAATGAACGAGGTTGAGTTTAGAATTGATATATCTCTCACTTCTTTGTTTGTAAGCGGCATTCCTGAGTTCGGCCCGGGTACGATGTTCTTCAAGCAGGTCCAGATTAGCCTTTATGTTTTCCGAGTTGGCCTCTTCGGTGAAATGTTGAACTCGGTACATCGGTTCTCCGAGCTCGACTGGGACCACGGCTTCTGAGCCGTAAGTTAAGAAAAATGGGGTCTCGCCGGTAGAAGTTCGAGTGGTAGTTCGGTAAGCCCACAGGACATGTGGTAGTTCTTCCGGCCAAGCTCATTTGGTAGCGTCCAGTCGGACTTTAAGGCCGTTTTTTATGAGCTTATTTACAGCTTCCACTTGGCCGTTGGACTGCGGGTGGTAAGGCGATGAAAAGAAGTGTTTGATGTTATATTCTTCGCATAAGGACTCGAGTTGCTTGCCTTCAAATTGCCGGCCGTTGTCGGTGATGATGGAGTTCGGGACTCCGAAACGGCAGATGAGCGATTTCCATATAAAATCAACGACTTTCTGTTCGGTTATCGCGACTAACGGTTCGGCTTCAGCCCATTTAGTGAAATAATCAACGGCTACGATGGCAAATCGGACGCCTCCTTTTCCGGTTGGTAAAGGACCTATGAGATCAATCCCCCATTTGGCGAAAGGCCAAGGACTGTAGATCGATTTGAGCTCTTCGGGAGATTGATGGACATTAGGCGCGAACACTTGGCATTTCGGGCATTTGCGAACCCATGTGGCAGCGTCGGTTTTCAAGGTCGGCCAGTAATAACCCTGTCGCAAGATTTTATAAGATAATGCTTGTGCACCGGGGTGACTTCCGCAAATCCCTTCGTGGACTTCTTCAAGAATGTACTGTGACTCAGTTTCACTCACGCATTTTAAAAGTGGGACGAGGTATCCCCTTTTAAACAAAGTTCCGTTGTCCAATGTGTACCGAGCTGCTCGGATCCGAAGTGCACGAGCTTCTTTTGGGTCTAGGGGCAAGGCCCCAGTTTCCAAATAATGAATAATAGGATCCATCCAAGTCGGTGGCTTTTGTGGCGTCACCGGATCGATAGTTGCGACCTCGAAAAGTGCAGTCGACGGTTGCTCTTGCTGGCCGATTTGGACATACTCCGCGCTCTCCATCCCTATACTGGATGCCAGCCTAGATAAGGCATCTTCTTGAACATTAAGAGTTCGGGGGATATGTTCGAGGTCGGCGGAAAATTTTGATAATTTTCGTTTGGCCAAAGAGAGATAAGGTGTCAACCGAGGTTCTTTGACTTCATATGAACCATTGATTTGGTTGACAAGGAGTTGAGAGTCCGAGAAGACTTTAAGGTTCCTCACGTTCATGGATTCCGCCAAATTCAATCCGGATAGCAAGGCTTCGTATTCGGCTTCATTGTTGGTTGCCGGGAAGAGAAACTTTACCGAGTGACAGAATAACCGGTTTTCCGGGTCAGCTAAAACTATCCCTGCGCCTGCTCGGTTGGCTGTTGAGGATCCATCAATATAGAGGACCCATGGTTGATTATCACGATGAACTGTTATGGCCGGAGTGAACTCGGCGATGAAGTCAGATAAGGCTTGAGCCTTGATCGCGGTCCTCGGTTGATAATGGATGTCGAATTGTCCGAGCTCAATGGCCCATTTGACCATGCGTCTCGAGGTATCAGGTCGGTGCAGGATTTGCCGAAGTGGATACGAAGTGCGGACAGTTATGGAATGTTCTTGAAAATAAGGTCGTAATTTCCGTGCAGCAACGACAAGCGCAAATGTTAATTTTTCCATCGGAGGATAACGTAATTCGGCATCATGCAAGGCTTTGCTGACATAATAGATAGGCGATTGCAATAGTCCCTCTTCACGTATCAAAACAGCGCTAATGGCAGAATCACTGACTCCGAGATATAAGAACAACATTTCCTCGGGTTTTGGCTTTTGTAAAGTCGGCGAAGAGGCAAGCGTCTCCTTGATGCTAACGAGGGCTTTCTGGCATTCCTCGGTCCATTCAAAACATTTTCCTTTTTTGATTGCTTCGAAAAAGGGTCTGCAACGATCTGTAGACTTGGAGATGAACCGGTTGAGTGCAGCAAGTCGGCCGGTTAGGGCCTGAACACCCTTAACCGAGGTCGGGGGAGTTAGATCTTGAATGGCCTTTATTTTGGCCGGATTGGCTTCAATTCCGCGCTGGCTGACCATATAGCCCAGAAATTTTCCAGATTCAACTTTAAAAGTACATTTCTTAGGATTTAAGACCATGGAATAAGATCGGAGGATGGCGAACATGTCTTGAAGATGCGTTATATGATCAGAGGCGTGTACCGACTTGACGAGCATGTCATCAACGTAAACTTCCATAGTGTGACCGATCAGTGTAGCGAACATTTTGTTGACGAGACGTTGATATGTGGCTCCGACGTTCTTTAATCCAAACGGCATCATAGTATAACAGTACAAGCCTCGGGCCGAATAGAATGAGGTGTGTTCAGAATCTTCAGGATCCATAGGAATCTGATTATAGCCCGAGTAAGCATCCATGAAACTCATCAACTCATGTCCCGACGTTGCATCGACCATATAATCTATGTGGGGAAGCGGATAACTGTCTTTCGGGCACGCCTTGTTCAGGTCGGAAAAATCGATACACAGTCTCCATAGCCCATTGCTCTTTTTGACAAGAACAGGATTTGAGACCCACGTCGGGTATTTGGCTTCCTTGATGAACTTGTTGTCGATGAGTTTTTTGACTTCTTCTTCCAACGCCTTCTGACGATCCGGCCCCAATTTTCTTCTCTTTTGCACAATAGGCCGGATGGTTCGATCGAGGTTCAACTTGTGGCTAGCGACACCGGGGTCGATACCCTTCATATCGTCGTGCTTCCAAGCGAAAACATCAGAATTGTGTTTGAGAAACGAGATAAGTTCTGACCGAAGAGGTTCTTGAAGATGACTTCCAATGCGCAATGATTTGTGGAAGACTGGTTCATCGATATAGATCAATTCTACGTCTTCTCCAGGTTCGGCTCGATCACTTCGGCTTTTTTCTTTAAACAAGGCTCTAGGGTCCAACTCGTCCTCTTCAAGAAGTGGCTCCTTTCCAGACCGACGACCTCGGTCTTCGGTCAAAGGATCCGAGGTGGAAGGATCACTGACGTGGTTGTTCGGTTCTTCGGACGCCGTGTCGTTCGAGACGCTTTGTGATGGAGAGTTGTTTGTCGAGGTGGAATGGACGCCGCTAGATGGTATGAATGTAATAAGTTCTCGAGCTTCTCTTTGGTCTCCGAAGTGTGTCCCTTCTCCTCGTGTAGTCGGGAACTTCAGAGCATAGTGAAAAATCAAAACTGCAGCTCGAAGTTTATACAATGTTGTTCTGCCGATGATGGCATTGTACTCATTATTAATATCCAGAATCTTGAAAGTTTCCATGACGAGCTTGGTGACATTCTCTAAAGTGCCGAATCTGACAGGTAAAGTGATCTCGCCGATAGGCTTCGAAATACTGCCATTGAACCCTTGTATCTGATCATTGCAAGGTCGGATGTCGGCGGGATCAAGTCCCATTTTGTCAAAAGCTTTTAACATCAAAATGCTTGAATAGGCCCCAGTATCCACCATAACACGATGTACGGGGATTCCGCATATTGGGACGGTGATAACAAGTGCGTCGGAATGAGGGTGTGCGAAGTGATTAGCATCCTCCATATTAAAAGTTATGGAACAATTCCGATTGTTGAGGATATCTCTTAAATCTGTAGTGTACACTTGTTTGCTGGAGTTGTAGGCTTGTCGGGCATAGGCTTTGATCTGTCGACGGGACAATGTACTCCGGGAGTTATTGGTATTGACACGATGGACGGTGATTTGCATCGGTTCAGGAGATCGACCTCGTTTACGTCCTCGGGCAGTTCCAGTAAAGTCTGAATCGGGCGTTTCCGAGGTGAACATAAATACTTCCTTGTCTCCTTGTCGGATGCGTTTTGGCATGGCACCTCGGTCCTCTTCATCGTCTTCATCAAAGGGTTCGATCTGACGTCCCGGACCTCGCCTCTGGGGATCGGTATTACAGTAAAACTTTCTAAGTTGCGGATGGCCAATCAAACGCAACAATGCGGCTAACAAACTCAAACACTCGTCCGTGTTGTGCCCTGGCGATTTATGATAATCATAATACCGGGACTTGTCCAGTTTTTCTTCGGGCATCCGAAGTGGTTTGGGATCTGGTAAAATGCCCTTCCCTTTGATTTCTTCATATATGGTGGCTGCTCCTGCAGAATATACGGTTTGATAACCGGACTTCACATCGGTAGCATATTGTTTTCGGGCCGCTCGAACTTCAGGATCGTTGGGATCTCCCCGGGGAGGCCCCCTGAACTGAGTCTTGTTTTGTCTTTCAAAATATTTGTTCTTCTTCTTCTCATCGGTTCCCGCCTTAGATGGCTTCAGATTAAAGTTAAAGTCGGGGACCGACATGGCTTCCTCAGCTATAATATGTTGCTGAGCTCGAGCGAGAAATTCTTGAAAAGTATTCGGTTTATTTTGGCATATTGTCCAGCGGAAAATTGAGTTCGGTTTTAGCCCAGCGATAGCCATGACAAGCAGAGTTTCAGGATGACAGGGTTCCATATTCTGAACTCGGTCATTAAATCGGGCAATATAATCCTTGACACTTTCATCATCTTTTTGAGTGACATTTGCAAGAGATTCTTTTGGGATTAGGCAGACTTGAGCCCCGATGAAATGAGATCGGAAAGCCGACCTTAGTTGTTGCCACTTCCAAATTGAGTGAGGAGGTAGAGAATGGTACCATTTTTGGGCCCGAGGCCCCAGTGTAAGCGAAAACATACGACACTGGAGTGCGTCTGAGGCCCCATGCAGATCCATCCAAGAAGTATAATGACCGAGGTGCGAGTCAGGGTCTGACGTTCCATCATATAGCCCGATCT